CCTTTAAAAAGGCGACCCATTTCAATTCTCCCTTCACACAAGGGCTTCCTGTTAATGTAATTATAGTGTTTGGCTATTTACATAAATAAATATGTACTAATATGTATTCATAATAAACACGATAGTATATTCGATCCAATTCACCTGATGCATCCAATGGGTTATCTTTAATCGAAAGGGTTCTGCGTCTTGAGGAACGTCTTAATGAATTAGAAGCGAATAAACGGAAGAAATCCGTTTAATTTTTTTTTTTTTTTAAATATATATATATTTTTTATATATATATATATTTTCTTTATGTATATAATATATATTTTTTTTATATATATATTTTTTTATAGATATGTATATATATATATTTTTTTTATAAATAAAAGAGAGCTTAGAATAAATAGAAAGTTCTATTGGAATACAATGAATTGATACCGTGCACGAAATAATGCCCACCTGCGCATTATTTCGAAATAAAATTAGATTTTCTAAATCCAATACAGTCAATCTTCATAACTGCATGTTTTTGGGTAAAAGTGCATTTATTTATTTATTTAAGCATATATTAATTATATAATTACATTACTGCATTAAACCGATCAAATTATGTGCTACATTAGGATGTGGGATGTACATGAAGGCCCGAGCGTATTTCGCGCTATACTGTAATTTATTGAATGAAATCCATTCATGGTTCTAAGCTGAAATTCTCTGATGCAATCATTAATATTCTTTTTTACTTGTTGGGGTCGCCATGCTTTAAACGTTCTTTATTACAATGTATACTTTTTCCGTATTTTAATCATCATCAAATATACAGTATACTGTACAGTCTACCCTCGTTTATATCAACCCATTTGAATTGGTTTAAATTCGTGTTGATAGTGATATTAACAAGGGACTATATTAAAGTTGATATATATGAGGGAATTTTAGTATATAAAAATTTGTAAAAATTCATCTTATTGCTTGGGTTGATATCAACGAGGTTGATATTAACGAGGGTAGACTGTATTTATGAAGGTGTCTTTTGCTAGCTTCTTTTTGGTCATATTATCCAGAACTTTCCATGCTAGTTTACTTGCGACATTTTTGATATTGACCTAGTAGCCTTCGTATGCTTTACATATTATTAAGTGATCGACTATTTCTTTTTCATTTTTGCAAGTACAGCATTTACTTGTATTATACACCTCTGGTTTCCTTTTCTTTAGCACTGTTAATACTGGTATTTCTCTATATAGACATCTCAATCTGAAAGCAAAATATTTACTTGCTTCTAATAACTTGTATTTAATACCTATTATTTTTTTATTTTGTTGTTAGAATAACCTTCAGTTGTGCTTAGCTTCTTGGTCATATTCAAGAATTTGTACTGCACTTGATATCCTTCATTTGGCTCCTACCCTTATATTTGTTAGAATTTTGATTAGCTTTCTTGTAGAGATCTTTACTGGAAAATTGTTTCAATATAGGCTAAATAGGTATCTAGGATTGTTTTCTATTTTAAGATTTGAACAAATGTTTAACCTTGTTCCTTCTTTTGCCAATATACCTGCTCTCTCATTCTACTATACACTTTAATCTTTACCAAATTTAACAAAATATGTTTTGACTTGCACAGATCTTTAATCAACAAAACCAGCATGTAATTTTTTCTTCTACTCTACTTTTTTGTATTATCTAACTGCTTGTCATATTATAAACTTGTAATTGCAGCTTCACTATCTAAATTAATTACTACTCTACTATTACTAGCTACTGTTAGCAGAGCCAACCAAACTGTGACCAATTCTGCCTTTGTTGATGAAGGCCAACCCTCGAATCTAACTTTCTCTTTAACTATCTAAGAATCCTTCTCTTTGTTAACCTGTACCCAACTTGCACCTATTATATTCTTTCCATCTATTTGGGCTAGAGACCCATTAGTGTAGAATATATAGTTCTTTCATTTACAACTAATATTGTTTTCAAGCTGCTCTTCTAGTATCCTTCTAGTACTCTGTCGAAATCATACGATCTTATGAAACTCTTTATATATTTTTCTATTTCTATTAAAACCAGCTCTTGTTTTCTTTCATCTTTCTTTACTTAATCTGTCACTTTTCTGTATCTGATTGTTTCTTCGATCAGTGCTGGTTTTTTAGAGCCTGTCTTTTGATTTGTTGTTTGAATTGATTGATCCTAATATATATTTTTTTTCCACCTAAAATTCACACTCCATGCTTTTTCTGTACTTTCTTTACAATTCTTACACTTATCTAGAGTTGGCTTCTTGTTTTCAATACTTTTCTCTAATTTTCAATGCTTGAGCAGAAATTTATTTTTTTTTTCCTCTTAACTCTACCTACCAACGAAGCTTCTTCTTCATTATTGCTTACTATATTCTATTCATACTTTTGTTTATTAGTTAACACTTTTTTTATATAAGCTTTTATTACTATTGTGTTTGGTTCTTGAATCTGAGCTCCAATTTTTCTTATAATTCTACTCTGATCTATTTCAAATTAGTTCTCAATAGCTCTAAACTATTTAGGTTTATGATCTTTTAGAGAATTCGCTCTTAATGCACAGAATTTTTTTCACAACAGAACTCTGTAACCATTGGCTTTAATCAACTGGTTTACGAAAAACAAATTGTACTTTTGTATACTTCTGCATGTTTTGAAAAATACTTCATCTTCTATGATTTCATAGATTGTTAGCCCAGAACCATAGACCTTCTACAGCTTATCTGTTGCGCTGAAAGTTACTTCTAGCTCTTGTACTTTAAGTAGAACCATGCATACTAAGTTGTTTTCCCAAATCTTCTTGATACTTGGACTTCTTGACTCCTCCCACCTTTCTTCACTTAGGCTAGCTAGTAAAAAGCCTTGATGCATTCTTATCTTTGTTAACTTGCTTACTTGGTTATTACCATTTAGCCTATCATGAAGATTTGTTACTTGGCAACACAAAACTTCTTGTCTAAGCATTTTGTATTTACCAAGACCCTGATACATCATTATATAATTTCTTGTTAATATTGCTAGCCCTATTTTATTCTTAATTAGTCTAATGAAAGACTGGTATATTTTATCTAGCATCAATTGTGATAGTTTACTGTTCTGTAAAATATACGCTAATTTTGGCACTAAACACA